TTTTTTTTTTTTTTTTCCCCAAACAACAAAATACCCCAAATTGTAGGAGTACTCCTTGTTGACTTCATTTTTTGCTCAATCTCTAAATTCATGTTCCTATTGTAATTTCCATCTATCAGCTATGTTCACAATTACTCCAACAAGTACAGTCTGTTAATTAATGTGCATTTTCTATTTTCTTCTTAATTTAGGACAGTCTATGTACCTAGTTTTGATCTTTCTGTTATGTCTGACACCACTCATCAATTGGATTCTCTTTCGTTTATACTGACTGTGAATCTACTGTCTGTCAAACCATTTTGTAGTCTCTCATAGCATTTCTAGCCAGATATTATTGATGTATCTTTTCCAATAGGTTCTTGTTTTCTAACAGGTTCATCACTATCTAACTTTTCTAATGGAACCATTTGAAAAGCTTTACTAAAATCTAGATATATTCTGCCCAGTACTGCTTACCCTGTGTGTGGCCACTTGGTATTTAAAAAGAGAAGTGAGCATAAATTAGACCCCTAGAGTCCACTGCATCCTTGGCTTTGTGTTTCATATTTGATCAACATTTTGTGTAATGTTCAAACAAGACATCCCAAGCTCTTTCATACCTTAGAAAGAGTGCACCAAGGTCTTTCAGATTGGTGCAGCAGGCCTATTAGATTACAAGAATGGAGAAGCAAAAAAATAATTCAAAGATCAAATAGATTGAAATAAGTTGGAAAGTACAATTGATATCAACAAAGCTTTGGGGACGAAACCTTACATTTGAGCCCTGTGTTCTGTTTTATTTTTTTTCATGCTATTTAGGGACTATGAATAATAAACAGAACCCAAACTGTATGTAATTGAGAGACATTTTGACTAGGAGGATCACTAGGATCGGGAGTGGGGTAGATTCTTGCTCAAGTTGTCACCAAGGAATTTAACCTCTTTATGCTACAGTTTTTCCCAACTGTAAAACGGGTCTAATCATCCTTGCCTACTTCGCAGGGGTGTAGCGAGGATTAATTAGTGCATATGAAAACCTTAAAGATAAATTTACTTTAGTAGTAGTAGTATACGGATGTATTTTTGTATGGGATATTTAGTAACTCAGTTTTTGCTCACATTATCATGAGAAATCCATATTTTTTAAATGGCATTATACAGTTAAGTATAGCCTATTAACTATCTGATGCATACAAGATACATTTTATCTAAATGTTAGCATTCTTTTAATGCTCATCCCAATATTACAGTCATGTACTTGATGAGGTATTTATGATTAATTTTATACACAGTTTTCTTTTATCACTTTTCTGTATTTGTAAAATGACCAGAAATTATTTTTTTTTCTTTTTTCCAGAAGAAAGTGCTATTGAAATAAAGATGGATTGGATTGTTCATACTCTTGTTTCCATAATATGTTTCTGCTGTACTACACATAAGGAACAAGGGGTAAAATGACCAAGTCCCACTGAAGGGCTATAGGACTGTACCTCCAAAGTTACTTAGATATAATCAGTGATTTAAACAATGCGATGTAAAACTCTTGGTAGGAAGGGCCAATCTGAAGAAGGAATTAATTCTAGATGTCATGCCTTCTGAGTTTATCTAACCAACAGAGTATCATATATAGACTTGTATAAATGTCACCACTATGTTCTTGTCAGAGTGAGGCCTAAGAAGATCATAGTGGGCTGAATGCATTTTTGTATGATGACAGTTGATGACAACTTGTTGCCCTTAAATGGAGTTTGTTTGGTTCCTGGAGCCTGACCAACTGTCACATCAGTGCTGAGTTGCTCCTATCAGGGGGGTTTTGAGCATACACTGAAGCAGAGTTTGAGGCCTCTGGAGAATCTGGAGACCAGGTGAGGTGCTGCGAAGGGTTACGCTCCCCCAGGGCTGCTTAGCACTTGAGTGAGGGCTTTTTGGATTGTACATTTGGACCTTGGATCTAAATTCCAAATCCTGATTTAGCCAAGAAATGGATATAACTCTCTGACATTTGAAAAAACTACCTGCCACTTCAGAGTGAAGAACAGGGATATATGGGTGGTATATGCCTGCCTGTGATACATGCTGCTTTTATTTCTTGTATCTGTTTTAAGTTCATAACTTTGTCATAACAGAGCACCCTTAGTTTTATTTGTTTTATTTAGTACATTTAACAAATGTTAAAGGAGGGGAAGTTGTTGTAAAATTAAAAGAAAAGCCTCATTAATTGAAACGTAATGGCCTCAGGATGGCAGTACACAATAAGAGGAGAAACTAATGGTTGTTACAGTGTATTTCACAGGACTCATTTTTTGGCAAAGCAGGAGGGAATGTTTTTCATGTGGGAGCGAGAGATTGGAATCAAGAGAGTACAAACAATACAAATAATGAAAAGCAAAGCTGTACTGCTACATGCAGTCTTCTGTCTCTCATTCAAAATAACTTAGACATTTATTTGGGCACCTATACACATGCCTGATGCCTGCTCCAATGTGTTCTAATTGGAACGCATTGGAGCAGGTTCAGTTAAGTCTACTGGAGCGTTTTAATTAGAACGATCCAGCATGTTCAGCGTCATGTGTATTCAGTGTCTCCATGTTTCAAAATGGCAGCTGGGGTGCTTTAACTAAAGCTCATTTTGAAGCGCGGGACGCTGAATACATGAGACCAGCTGGAAAATGTCGTACCTTCAGGCACTCCCATGGCTTTCCTCCAGGTAGCTACAATTTTTTTCTCATTGTCCTTCATGCTCTAGAACTATCATGGACCAGCCTTTGCAGACTTTCAGGAGAAAGAAACAGAAGCAAAGCAGCTCACACCAGTGAAATGTTTTTTTCTCTCTGACCTGGATTGCAAAGTGAACTCAGTGGTACCCTTTGCCATCTCTGGTGGGAGAGCAGAGGATTCTGCTCACTTTTGCTTTCTCCCTGGCTTAGAAGGCTGGAAGCAATCCAGGCTGTCCCGTTGGCCCCAGCTACAAAAACTGTGTGGGTGGGCAGTGAGATTAGTAACACTGAAGCTATTTTGAAAGGTTGGATGTAGCTCTGGAATGGATCAGTTAGCATCAAGCTGGCAAAGAAAACAGTGTTACAATGCTGAACTACCTCTAGATCATCGTAAACGAGGTGAGCAGCCCACGTGCCTCAACTGTGGGAGACACTGGTAGCAGAAAGGACACTGCTGGGTAAGAAACTCCCTGTTCCTATGTTCTAAATGAAAATACTAATACCTACTTGACTTTCCCTGAATCCAGGACCGATGCCACAAGTTTTCGTTGTATTTTAAAGCGAAGTGGCAACAAAAGCACTATCTCCTATTTGCCTGCTGGGCCCACCAGCATTACATGTGATGTTCTGGTAGGCAGAGCAGTGTGCTAATCAAAGGACATATC